GGCATGGTAACAGACGTAGTCGAGAAAAGGGGAGGATGGGGAAAGGAGGTGACGGAGAATGGGGAGAGCATGAAGAGGATAATCAGGACAACTAGGAGCGAGGAAACGTGGCAAATGAGGATTCAGGAGAGGGAAGAGGAAACATATGACATGTTAGCCAACGTGGACCCCAACCAGTAAGCGCTTGCATGGTAGATGTGGACGCTGTGAGGTTCAACTATGCGGTGCAATCTATGTTGTGCGAGAAGCAAGCTTTGTGGTCCAAAATACGTGGTGCAATATGCGTGGTGCAAGCTACGTGGTCCAAATTTCTTGGCGCAATACGCTCGTTGCAAACTATGTGGTGCAAGATGCTTCGTACAGGCTATGTGGTGCAAGCTATGTGGTGCAATGTACGTGGTGCAAACTCTGTGGTGCAAGCTACGTGGCGAAAGCTATGGGGTGCAAACCACTCTGATGAACTTGAAATCGTCATCTCCACTGCTCGTGCAAACATCCCACCCACCCACCCGCAACTTGGTTTGCAAAACCTCTTGAGACCGACTACGACGACACCGACGACAACGACTACGACGACACCGACGACGTCTCCGTCGACTTCGACGACGACAACGACGCCGACGCCGACGACGACGAAGACGACGACGACGACGCCAACGAAGGCGACGACGAGGGAGGAGGAAGGACGACGACGGCGACAACGACGACAACGACGACAACGACGAGGGAGGAGGGAGGACGGCGACGACGCGAACGACGAAGAAAGAGGAAGGACGGCGACGCCGACGACAACAACGACGAGGGAGGAGGGAAGACGACGACGACGACGACAACGACGACGACGACGACGACGGCGACGAAATAGGAGGGACGACGACGAGACGCCGACGACGGACGACGACGACGACGACGAGGGAGGAGGAGGAAGGACGATCACGGCGACAACGACGACGGAAACGACCACGACGCCAAAGAGGACGACGACGACGAACACTAGGCAAGACTGGACGACGTAGGCGACGACGACGACGACGCGGGAAGAGGGAGGACGGCGACGACGACGACGACGACGCCAGAGCGCGCGCGCACGCTTTTGTTGAAAATCCGTGTTGCGAAACCTTAGGTTTTTGTAGGTTTGCTGGACACACGATTTTGAAATCCTTCCGAAACCGATGGGTTTTGAAGGATTTCGGCGTACGCCCGCGACGACGCGCGCGTTTGCACTTCGCCCCATTTTTTGCAGAGGATTCTCGCGACGGCACACGCGCAAGGGCGTTCGACAGATTTCGACATGCGCGCGCGAAGCCCGTTTAATAGCATGTTGTGAAAATCTTGAAAAACCTATGGTTTTCTTAAGATTTCGCAAGGGCTCGCGCGGAAGCTTTTTTAGCAAATCAGTGTTGCGAAACACGGTGTTTTTGTATGTTTTTTGGAAGCTCGATTGCGAAATCTTTCTGGCACCGAAGGTTTTTGAAGGATTTCGGCATGCGCGCGCGACGACGCGCGCGTGTGCACTTCGTCCAATTTTTTGCAGAGGATTCGTGAAAAAAGTGCTATGTTAGAACAAAAATGTTACTGCATAGTGTTTTTTACAAGGGAACCTCAGGGGGGGATACCGGCCCCCTCTGGGATAGTGTGACTTATATTTCGGATGGACATGTGGTCATAAACATATTTGGTTTACATACCCGAAAGGGGTACCAATAACGCGGGGAGGGGGGTAGATCATATTTTGTTATTAGAAAGGAGAGTCTGTACAGTGCAGGCTATGTGGTGCACCTTACGTGGCGTGAGCCATGTGGTGTGAACTATGGCGTGCAGCGACGGTCGGTACCGGGACCGCCGGGCCTGCAGACGGGCAGTTTTGTCGAGACGCACGGGGCGGCTGCGGACGGGAAAGGGGCCGCCGTGCCCGCAGACGTGCCCAGCTCCTCAGAAGCGCAGTAAGGTACCCCCAACGTGCAACCACCGTTTGGGGAGGAAGGCAGATCGGGGACGGGGAGGAAGAAGAGCAGGAGGGTTACGGGGGAGTCGTGGGAGATGGAGGAGCAAGTGGTGGCTTATATGGGCATTGGGGAGGGGAAGGAGAGGGGGGGGAGCAGGTGGAGGAGGCTGAGGAATCATAGGTCGGAGAGCGGAGAAGGTGGAGGAGGAGCAGGCGGAACAGGAGCCCGAGCAGCACCATCAGGTTGAGACGGCAGAGGGGTAGTTGTAATATCCCGAGGAGACAAAGGGGGAGGGGCGGGAGGGGGAGGGCGGGGGAGCACGAGGTGGAGAGGATGATGCTGAGATTGAGGAGAATGAGGACAAAGAGGGATGAGCACAATACGATGAGAAAATAGAAGGACCACGAGAAGGAGGGAAAGGGCAGGATCATAGGGGGCCTGGTCAGCGCGCCGTTGACTGGCAATAGGTGCTTTGCTCTGGCTTCCTCGCCTGTCTTAGTCGCAGACCAGACCTTTACGCAGATCGCCGCCGTACTCTACCCATGCAGGGCCCCTGCTGACGAGCGACGGCACGGCTGTGCGGCTGTGGCCTGCGGCAGCAGTGACGGCATAGGCCAGGTGGGCCGGCGGCGCTGGTAAGGCATTCAGCCCACCGGAACGGGGGCGAGCAAGGGGCTTGCTGTCGGCGGCCGTCTGGGGCGTCCCCGCCTTTGACGGTATCAGTTCCCTCTCTTCTTGTCGTGGGTGGGATTGGGGCCTACCGGGGCAGTTCCAGCTCCATGTCCTGAGCCCGAGCTGTCGAAGCGGAACTGCAGGGCCGCGGTACGATCCTGGTGGCGTCTCCAAAGAGGGCCGCTAGATCGCCACGAATCCCATCCGAGGGTCTGGCGTGTCGCGCCAGACGTCCGTAAGTTGGTCCTTGGCCATGGAGATTGGTGCCAAGCGACAGGCAGGAGTTTCTCTCCGACCACCCCAGCAATACGCGCTTTCCGCAGCTGGCGTAACTATATATAAATATAGATATATATGACATAGTCTCTGCAGGGGAGCGCGCCACGGCTTCCCAAAGGACGGAAAGGAAATTGAGGACGATATAAAAAGGGAAAGGATGAGTAGCTGGAGGAGGCGGGAATGGGAAGGCGGCGGAGGAGGAGGAGAAATGATGAGCAGGATAAGGGATCAGGGATGTGGGGGAGGATGAAGAGGATTATAGGGAGGAGCAGGGGGAGGAGGAGGAGGAGGAGGAGGAGAAGGAGGAGGAGGAGGACCAGTGTAAACCCAAGATGCATCAACGATGTTGGAATAAACCCTCCCTCCAAGCTCCCTCTTCATAGGCCCCATACAAAGGTTCATTTCCACTGAGGGAGCTGCCTCGTTGGGAGACACCCGTTTGAAAACCCTGAAGCGTCTTGACGGACGTGAATCGCGCCAGAACGCAATTCCTGGGACTTCAACACCGCGAATCAACATAACTGTTGCACCCTCGCAATCCAGAGTCCTTCCAAAATAAGATTTCTGGTACGCGAGTTCGTTTTGAACTCTGGAAAAAACCGAATGTGCGCAGCGCTCAGGCGAGAGCCACATGTTGAAAACGAGCATTCCTCAATTCGTGAAGCTCCTGCGAATTTTGAAAACCAATGTGCGCGGCGCTAAGGCGAGAGCCACATTTCGAAAACCGCCCGCCCTCAATCCGTGAAGCTCTGGCAAGTGTTGAAAACGAATGCGCGCGGCGCTAAGACAAGAGCTACATTTCGAAAACCGCCCGCCCTCAATCCGTGAAGCTCTGGCAATTTTCTAAACGAATATGCGCGGCGCGAAGGCGAGAGCCACATTTTGAAAACCACCCGCCCTCCATTCGTGAAGCTCTTGCCAAACTTTCTAAAATGACTGTTGGTGGCACGAAGGCAAGAGCCACATTTTGAAAACCACCCGCCCTTCATTTGCGAAACTGTTGCCATTGTTTAAGCCTCAGAGTCAGACATGGTGAGGAAGTCTCAGGCGAAACGCCCAGAGGACGTGTCGCCCAGAGGGCGTCTCGCTTGGATGGAGGAGGAAAGGATGAGGTTCGCTCGCCACCTGCGCGAGACGTGAAAGGCGAGATGTGACGAGCTCGGCGCGCCCTCGGCTACGCTGCAGGAGGAAAGGAGGAGGAGGAGATGGGGGGGAGGCGGCATGGCGGGGGCTCGGAAGAACAACGCAGGGCGGGATGACGGACGATGAGAAGGAGAAGGACCGGGGAGGAGGAGTGAGAGTGGGGGGGGGGGGCGGGGGCAGGGAGTTGCAAATGAGGACGGGCAGCAGAAGGGGCAGCGGGGAGTGCGCGCGTTCCCCTCCTCGGCTTGCCCCTGGAGCCTCCCGGGCCGTCCCCGTGGCCTCGATTTTGGTCGGGCATGTCCCTCCAAGCGGATTTTGGACGAAACACTTGGAATAGTCAAAAGATATGCAAAAGTGTAAAAATATGCTTGCAAAGTCGTCCCCAGACTATTTTTTGATCATTTTTGAATGTTCCTCCTGTAGAGGGACGTGCCCGACTTAAGCGTCGGTCGGCCCCAGCAGGCGCCACCAGTACCTGAGCCGCATGCTGCAGCAGATTCGGCGCATCAGCGCCATCCTAAAGGGGAGCTCGTCGTTCTGGGCCGCCATGGGCAGGGAGGTACAGATGCTGGCGGACATGAAGGAGTCTTGGCTCTCCTCGTCATCCGCCCTCCCCCGTGCTCTCCGTGCGCCTCCTGGCCCGGCCTGGCCCCCTCCGGCGACGTGGTCACCCCTCTGTGCCCTGACTGGTTTGTGATTGAAGCCACGTGTGTGGTTAGCGACGTGCTCCCACATGCTCCTCACCCCCTCCGCCTCCCCATCCTCCTCGTCCTGTTCTCTCCCCCCCTCGGCCTATTGCTGCAACTTCTACCGCGGCTGCTGCTGCTGCCAGCGCTGCGGCTGCAATGCCGCCACGACCACGGCGGTCGCCGCTGCTGCAGTTCACACTGCTTCTACAAGTGCTACTCGTATCACCACTCAAGTCCACTGATGAGTATGTTTACATGTCCATGCCCATGCATGCGTCTGCGTCTGCCTCTGGCACTGCTGCTGTGCCTACGTCTGATTTTGGTGTGGACTAGTCGTTGCACTTGCACGTGTACGTATGCGCGTTTATTTTATCATTGCCTTTGCGATTGCAGTTGTCACTGCAACGACTACTTCTCAGCTTACACTCGCGAGGTTGCAATTACACTCCCAACATTTCTACTATATATTGTTCTACTGCTACGGAATCAAGCGCCGTGGGGATGTATCGATACTTCTGGTACTCACGGGTTCATGCGTTGGCACACACGTTCAATTGAACATTCACTAATCGTTGCCCCAGCGGTTGCGATTCTTACGACTGTGATCAAGACTCTGATTGCAGGTGTTTTCCCATTATTTCAAGATTGCCATTAGCGCAGCTACTTCCACAGTGGCTACTACGACCACCCCTCCTCGGGGTCCCCTAAGGTCGGGGGTGGACGGAGCCCCCACCCTGACACGTCGATTGGTGAATTGTCCTTTCTCGGTTCCCGAGAGGGGCGCCGCGGCCGTCATTCTTCAGGCTTGCGCCCGCCAGGTTTGGGCCCGAGCTCGTTTTCACCAAGCCACGTTTTACTGAAGGGGGTTCTGCCCATCCCCGGTGAGGACTACATGGTCACCCTCGCCAACGCCACCGACTTGAGCACCGGCCTGGCGGAGCAGTTGGTCCTGAGGCTGGGTCGGTACAACAGCTCCTGGGCATCCCTGGAGCAGCTGAGCAGGCCAGGGATGGGTGGGCGGGGGGAGGGGGGGAGGAAGGGGAAAGGATTAGCTCGGGCGTGTCCCCCTACAGGGGGATGGTGGGCGAAACATAAAACATATTCCTGGAATGCTCTTCGAAGGTTAAAAGAACTTTAAACATCGTCCCCGACTATTTTTTACTTGTTTTGGATATGCCTCCTGCAGAGGAACAGGCCCGAATTAAGGAAAGGACGAGGAAGAGGGAGAGCATGACAATACGAAACATGCGGAAGCGAGGAGGAGGAGGAGGCAGGGCTTGGTACAGTTGAGGGGGAGAGCGAGGATATACTTCAGACGGTGAAGGATGGGTAGGGGGTCGAGGATGGGGATGACAAGCAGGAGAGTGAGGAGGAAGAGGATGTGTGAGACTGCTTGTCAGGGGAAGGAGGAGGACCACAACGAGGAGAAGAGAGAGAGAGAGAGAGGGGGAGAGAGGGATGGCGACGGAGAGAGAGATAGAGAGTGAAAGAAAGAGAGCGAGAGAGAGCGATAGACATAGAAAGACGAGTGGGGAAGAGGGAGAGCATGAGGTGGAAGGAATCGGGGAAGGTGGAGCAGCAACGCGAGGAGAGCGAGGGCAAGGAGAAGTAATAGATCGTGGAAGGAGCACTGCCGCTCCAAGGAACTAGCCCGGACAAGCATACCGCGAGTCACGGCGACGGGTATGGTGGATGGTTTTCATCAGTGCCAGACGTTGAATTCTTCTGCTGATGCATACCGCCGCTCAGCAGCGGACCTTGCTCCTTGTATCGTAGTCTCAGGAAGGTTCCACGATCTACGTCGAAAGGTACGATCGCTCTTACCATCTTCTGCCAGCAGCACCAGCTGTTGGACCTGCTAGATCCATGTGGCGCTTCGGTGGCTAGTATATGAGGCTTCGAAGTATTGAACGAACGCTTGAAGGATTGTGTGTATGTCTGAGATCACACACACAGTTCGTCCCGTTCGGATTTTCGACTTCGTTCTGTGCAGGATTTGCGCTCTCTGCGCGCACCGCCTGCGACTCAGGAGCGAGGGTGGAAGGGAAGAGGGGGAGGGATGGGGGAGAAAGAGCGTGTACACACCGATGGGTCAGGCAACTGTGACACCGCCTGTTGCTATCGGTGGGCGCACCTTCTCGAATGGCCACCATCCTGCTTGAGCAGGGTCGGCTGGAGTTCTGACACCAATAAGCCGTCGGAGTCGGAGCCACACGCTGGTGAATGACATGCTCGAAACAATGCCATTCGGTAGGCGAGCAGTGTTGCCGATTACCGCCTCCGTCGCATATTCGATCCGATCCAGCCTTGTCAGGATGGCCGGCTGTTCTGTTTGCCGCCGCCGCAGCGAGGCGTCTATCGCGTCGGCGGCAGTGTCCGGCCTGCCCATTCACGTGACATCGCTCGAGGTCATGGGGGGGGGGGCTCTTGGTCGGGTGCTTGTCGTTCGAAGGTGGTGCGCAAAGATTTCCGCCAATGCAGGTAAACCAGGCTGCCCAGCGGCGCTCGTTACGGCCTTTCGTTGTGTTGTAGGCTGTGAGCTTAGATCGTGGGCTCGAGGAATGCTTACATGCGGGTCTATGGGACGGGCATGGCCTTCGGACTCTCTGTGCCCGGGCGCCTGGAGCCTGAGCGCGGCCCACGGTGCTGTGAAGTGTGGGCTCCTGGATCTCAGCGGGCCCTCCTGAAGGGTTCACATGTGTAAATATTGAGCAGGAGCTTCTCCCCACAGGCAGTTCTGCGACGATTATCAGACCATGTCGGAAGAAGCAGACGTGCACATGCGCGCCTACGAGGACCTGGTTCGCTGAAAGTCCAGGGAATGCGCAGGAAGGGGTCCAGGGTGAGATGGTCAGACCTCCCCATGCTTTGCGACCTGATGTTGTTACGACGTCTCTACTCTTGTCCCAGCCTCCTCTCATGTCCTCCACCGCCACCTTTCTCCTCTCCCTCGCCCTTCCCACAATCCATCTCCCGATGCCCCCCTCAATGGGTTTGTTTTGCAGCGTACGGATGAGGCGATGGGCCGGAGAAGGGGAGAGAAAAGGAACATATGGAAGAGGGGATGGAGGATGAGATGACACAGGAGATGGACAAGGAGATGGAGGAGGAGATGGAGCGGGAGGCCTAGGGGGAAAAGAGGTAGGACTGAGGGAGAGGGGGGAGCGGTCATGGCAGAAGTCTCATGCCCTGCAAGAACAAACGAAGAGGATCGCTTAAATCCCACTTGCTGCAATCTGGATACAGCTCACCAGCGGGGAGAACCTCTACGAGGAGCTGTTCCAGACGGCGCCCCTTCCATCCGACGACGTCGGGACAATGGTGCGCAAGTACATCGAGGAGTACATGAAGCAGGAGGGTGAGCACACGATCATGAAGAAGGGATCGAACCAGGACCTGGCCGACCATGGGCAAGAGGACGGTGGCGGCTGTGATCGGTAATCCGGCTGTGATCGGTAATCCGGAGGGCCTCTCCGACCTCTCCCAGGCGACCGCATGGTTGCAGGAGCGATTGAAATCTGTGGAAGCCTCTCCCCCGGTGAAGGTATATCCGAAGGGAGGCTACTCAGGCACCATCTTCGCCGAGCTCGGGACGACGCTGGCGCGGGACAGCGCGGCCGAGTTCTTGCGGGGCGCTCGCCTCCAGAGCGGGGGGAAGCAGCTCTGGACGAACCAGGACCGGACCCCCCTCGAACGCGCCGCCCGGAACTTTTGTTTCGGCCTGACGCACAGCCTCAAAAATGTGTGGGAGGTGCCGCACACGACCTCGGTCTCCGACGAGGCTCTCTACATCGTCACAGTAGGTGGGGAGCACGCTTTGACGGCGCACGTGGTGCAGAACGGAGTCGAGACATGGTCGAAGTTGCATGGGCGTCCGCTCGCCAAGGAGCTCCGGAAGTCCGACGACCTGGCGTGCCGCGCGGCGAAGGGGCACGAAAGGGTGCAACGACACAGCGACGGGCAACTACAAGGGGAAGCAGGCCGGCGCCGCTGGGCGCCCATGGGAATAGAAAATGGCTCCCTCAGATGTTTCACCGGCACGGGCAGTCGGCAGTACTGCCATTATGAACCCACATGATTGGCGAGTTCGCGACAGCATGAGAGTACATACGGAAGACGCGGGTGGCCGCGACAGCAGCCACATTGAGCATTTTGATCGCCGTGGTGGGCCGTTGCGCCCCTGCAGAAAACGCCGACGGAGTCCAGAATCGACAAACTCCCAGAGCACATACGGACCTGCAACACAGAGGTTCTCGCAACCCAAGAAACTCACAAACCAGAGCCAGCGTAGGAGGTCACTGACTCCAGTTATCTCGTGGTGCTCCCTGGAGACGCGGACGACCAGGAGCCAGCGCGGGGTGGATTTTTCATATATCTCCAAAGATACCTGCAAGCATTACATTTGCGCCCGACACATATACGCCCCACACAAGGGCACACGACACGGGGCCAGGAGAGAATTCGACCAGTTTCTTGGCATCCTTCTCCGGGGCTTTTCTGGGCATGAGGGGCTTATACTCCCAGGGAGTTCCAAGCGAGGCTGCACAGGCAGTTCCCGTGCGACTTACCACACTTTGGAGCGTATGTTGTCGGCTGCCCGTCTGCACATCACGATCAGCATTGTAATCGCAGTCAGCTGCTTAAGTAGTGTGGGTCATCATGTGGGCTAGTAGTCAGCAGTGCGTTCTTCGACCACCCGCCGGAGGCCCAAACAACGTAGCACACGATCGGTTCGAAGCCTGCTGATCCAGCTCGACCAGAGCATATTGGCCAAGTCGAATTGCTGCTCTGCCCAGAGGGCTGGGAGTCGTCTGCCAGCGATGTTCGTAGTCAAATGGATGCGGCCCTTGCGTCGTGCATTTCCTGCTCCTCTGCTGCGTGCACGTGGACGTTTAGATCATCGCCCTGAAGCCAAACGAGAAGGTGGACTTACAGGCGATGTCTTGCAGCAGTTTGGTGGACTATTTCAGCGCCGCGTTCTCGGAGAAGATGGCAGATTTAGGTTCTGACGGGTGTATTTTGATGGCGTTGAATTTTTTAACAGAGCAAAGCGACTTCACGGCATGATCAGAGCATCGATCAGAGCAAACAGAGAGAAGCGGCTCGACGATATCCTCGCCTATGGGCCCAGAGACTGGGTTTCGGAAATTGCGGTGTGGTTGGGTGGCACGGCACGGCCGCGTGAAGGATTCGAGCGGAAGACTGGTTGACAGCGATGAGAGGGCAGACACGCTTGCATATTCTTTTTCCATAGATCAATGGGCTGTGAGACCCGTGACCGATGTCGAGCGCGCCCCCCCAATGGGCGCACATCTGCCAGTCCCAGCAGGCCCCATTCCCCCAGAAGAGGTTCGCGATGTTGCGCGAAAGTTGAGAAGGAACGTGTCCTCTGGAGGCGATGGTATCTCGGGGGAGCTTGCGAAGGCCATCCGTACGCCAGGGGCTGTAGCCCTCGAGTGGGTTTCACTTGATCAGAAACAAGTGCTGGGCTGATAAGGCCGCGCTGGATGCGTGGCACGAAGCAGTCGTCATCGCGCTGTTCAAGGAATGCGCCTCGGCCGAGTGCGCCAACTATCGGCCAACATCACTGCTGCCAGCTGGACGCAAACAGTGCGCAATGGTTCTCCTCGGCCGATTGAAGAGCGCAGGTGTCGAAGGCGCAATCTGGGACACGCAGTTCGGATTCCGAACAAGACGCGGCACCACGCATGCGATATTCATTGTTCGCAGGGCGACCGGAAACACCTGAAGTTCTCGCTCTGGCAAGCTAGTCCTGCTGGCGCTCGATCAGGCCACGGCGTTTGCTGGCGTCTCGCCAACCGCTCTGGTGCACGCGCTCGTCCGCTTCGGCATCCTTCGACACTTCGCCGAGGCATGTTGGGCCATCCACGCGGACAGCTCTTCTCGAAAATGGGGGGCGGGCCAGACGTCCGAGCCGTGGTCGCAAGCTTTCGGCGTCTCCCAAAGCTGCCCTTTATCGCCGCTCCTGTTCTCATTTGCCCCGACTGTCCCCGTGCGCGGTGCGAGCCGGGCTTTCCCAGCGCGCTGGCTGGCCCAAGACGCCCGAGTGCCCCTTGGCGACCTCATCTGAGCCGGCGACAACCTAGTCGTTGGAGTCAGTGATGATTATGTTTCCAAGCCGATGGAGGCGATCCACTGCCCGCGTTCCATCCACGGGCTCGCGCTCAACTGGGGCAAACTGGATGCCCTATCAGCATGTTGCGAGACAGCCTTGGCGAAGCCAGACGGCGCGCCCATCCCGAGCAAGGACAGCGCGGTCTACTTAGGAAGACTCCTTAGCTTCGCGGACCAGAGCGGGCCTGACATTAGCCATCGGTTGAGCATGGCGAGCGCAGGCTTTGAGATGTTGTGCAAGCTGTGGATGTCCCGTGGCTGCCCCTTCCACAAGACGTCAGCAGTTGTTGACGCGAGTGTCGGGTCTAAGTTGCGATATTGCTTACACGCTGTTTGGTTTGTCAACGCAGAGTGCAGCAGGATTGGGGATTTTCAGGCACGTTGCCTGCGGCGCATTTCGGGCATCAAGCGGCCGTGCATTAACCGCATTGGTAATGAAACGGTGTTACAGCGATGTTGCGCTCAGAAGTATAGCGAAACACCGATGCGCAGGTAGTTGAAACTTATGGGACACATTGCCCTGATGCCAGGGAGTAGCCCCGTGCGCAAGTGTATGTTCCAGCCCAGTACGGTCGAGCTCGTGCAGGCTTGGCCCCGCCGGAGGGGTCTGCGCCACAACGCGTGGAAGTTTCAGGTGTACGGCTTTGCTTGCCAGACGGCCGGCGGCGAGGAAACTTTGCACGCCTTGTGGCATCAAGGGCTGAACGTTTAATCTTAAATATGCGAGATCTATGATGCTGGTTCTGTTTTGTAGGAGTGGTTTTTAGGGAGGAGTTTCGAAAGCTCGCCCCCGCCGCATGCCCTCCTGGTGGTGTCCTCGCCACCTCTTACGCCGTCCTGCGTCGTTCCTCTGCCTGCTCTCCCTCCTGCTCGTCCCTCGGGCTGTCGCCCGGGTTGTCGCCCTCCTCCCCCTTCCCCTTCTTTCGGCTGTCGTTCCCTCTCGCTTGCCCTCTTCCCCCCCCAGCTCTGGGTTCGTCCTGGACCCTGGGCGTCGCTCCTTCATTTGCCTCCCTGGTGCGGTTGCCCTCCCAGGTCGCCCAGCCTGCGAGCAATTTTGGCGAGTGGGGTATGCATGGCGAGATTGTGAATTTTCCTTGGACATGGAGCCAGCGACGCCAGAGGCTTCGCATCGCCGGTCGCAGTCGTTTCGCCCCTTTTGCCGACGTACTTCTGACGTGCACGGATTCTCTCTCCCTAACTCCCGTCAGCGGGTTCAATTTGTAGGCGGTCGAGCCCGCCAGCGAGGGAGGGGTGAATGGATGAGCATGAGGTGGCGCATGGGGGGAGGAGGCGAGGGGGCAGATCGGCGGGTGTGAGGAAGAAGGGGGATGGGGGAGGTCAGCGGGAGGAGGGAGGGAAGGGTGAGGGACCGAGGAAACGGGATGGAGGCGAAACGAGCGATGTGGAGGGAGGGGGATGCACAGGGGTGGATGGGGAGAGCAGGCTGATGGAGAAGGCGGGAGGAGGCGGAGGAGGATGGGTGTGGATGACGGGATGGGGAGGGGTTTGAGGTGAAGCAAAAGATGGAAGATGATGATGAGGACTTGGTTGCGCAGTATCAGTAACGATATAGCACAAAGGTGGGAATTGCCAGGGGTGCATGAAACGACGCGTGGTGAAGGGCAATCGGGTCAAGCTTTGCCCATTTCCCCACCAAACACTCCAGGTCGACGCATGGGCCAGAAGTTGCCGCTTCCATCCGCGGTGTAGGCGCGCTTGAATTTACAAGTGCGATCGTTCTTCTGGCCTTGTTTTCGCATTGGGGACAGCCGATCATTGATCAAGTCTGTGCAAATGGGGTTGGAGGAACACTACGTGGAAAAGGATGCCATCCCCATATGTTGACAGGCTTGTGTTGCGCGTGAGGATCAAAGCGCCGCCGGCACACTTTTGCCTCCGGATGCTGGAGGTGAATGTCGTCCACTTCTGGCTGGAGCTCTGCGTGTTGAGGGTTGCGCCCAGCCAGGCACGAAGATCGCAATCCGCTGCTTGAGGAAATCGGTTGCTCCCTACTAATATGTTCAAGGTGGCCGTCGACGCTAATGGCCATATAGATGAGCGTGGGTCTGCGCAGAATATGCTACTGCTCCCCGACTCCGACGGTAGATGGTTGCTGATATCAAAGCCCCAATTGGCTGCAAAGGTAATACATTGTTTGTCGTCGTCGTCTCTGGCAGTCGAGCATCAAGATCGAGGTCTTCGGGCGCTTCTGGGGCGGTTTGGGGTGTCATTGGGCGTTCCAGTGCGCTTTGGGGGTTCAGGGGCCCGGGGGAGGTGGTCGACTCATCATGCTCTTGCTGCTTCGGCTGTCAAAACTTCGTCAAAACTTCAAGGGGCAACGATCAGAAATAAACCCGTTCATTTGTGCTTGCCAGCCCCCGCAAGAGAAAAATCAGCCGACTGGGCCATCCCAGCGTCGGCCCAACTCGGCTCCGACTCGCGTGGAACCTGGAAGGCGCCAAGCGGCGCTGGCCGTTGGCCAGCGGGGGGCCAGACAGGTTGCGGGAACGGGCAGACGCGCGAGCCGATCGAGCAGGGCCCACTGGGCCGAGTGACGCCCTGAAATCTTTGTACGAAGGCTTTGCGCGACAGTTGCGTTTTCTTCGGGTATGCAGTCACACCGCATCCTTGCATCCTTCCCATTGCATCCTTCCCCTTGCATCCTTCCATCCTTGCATCCTTCCATCCCTGCATCCTTCCCCTTCGGCCCATCCTTAGCGACTTTCGCTGTTCAACCTCGTTCGAAAAACGTTAACTTGGCCCTCCAAGGCCCTTGCATCCTTACCACGCATCCTTACGGATTGACTGTAACCTTTTTCTTGCCGCCATGGGGCCCGAGGTGTTCTTTCGACCTCTGTCGCGTTTGAGGGGTAACATGTTTTTGGGGGCCCGCGCTCTTAGCGGCCGTCGCAATTGCTCGGGGTCCATCAGCCGATCAGCCGGGAGGCGGCAAGACTAATTGAGATTCTGCCTAAGGGCTCGTAGAACACTTCCCCGATGGGGGCTCTCGACGGCGCTGACCTTCCAGCGGGGCCGCTGGCCCCCAGGCGAGCCCTCCACCAACGTTAGTACTGCAGGGCCCCGCGGAGGAGTATCACGCCTTTCAAACAAACTAAGGAATAGTTTAATTTGTTTCGTTTGTCTGCTTCCAACCGCTCGGCCCCAGTGTGGATCGTCATGGCGCTAGGGGCTCACTCGCCAGACTCCTTGGTGAAACCATTGGCCTCAACATTGGAACGAGTGCGCCAGATGGTACACCATACGTTGGCGATCGGAGAGGTCGTGCTGTCGATGTCTCGGAACTGCTACTCATCGGAACCGTTGGGATTGGCGCTGGATTGTAGCCTTCAGTGTTGTTGATGTAGAGGACGCACTTCAGGAAATCTTGTCCACTTCCTTGCGCCTGGTCTCCACAGTATTTGAGACGATGTGCGTAGCCCGTGTGATGTGTTGCTTCGCGGAAGCGGGCACGAGCATTTTTTCTCGGATGTTTTGCAGGGAGCTCCTGGTGTCGCGAAGGTATGCCTCTACCCACCTCAATTGGTTTCATTATGATTCGCTTGGTCAGGCGAGCGCCTTAGATGCTTGGTGTGCTGTCGGTCTGGTCGAGCGTGCCGACAATATGAGCTTCGACCGCGTGCAAGTGATTGTCAAGCCTGAAGCAGTCTGGCCTGGCTGTGAGGGGGACTGCCCCGCATGACTAAGACCTGGTTCTACAAGGGCTGTGTCTGGTCGTGGGGCACTACGTGCCTTTCCCCTAAACAGCTTCTCTGTACGGGATCTATCTCCTTCGAGCGCCCAGTGATGGAGCCGGCCCCCCCCCGAAACTCGTGGCCCCCCATCGTCGACCCCCCCTCCAGCTGTTCAGGGTCTGCTGCCGCAAGGGTGTTATTTTCTCGATCACAGTGTTGCTGTTAGAAAACCGCACTGTCTCTACGAAGACCTGGGGACTAGACAGCCTTTTTCGCAGCCGCAGTGCAAGCGCAGAGTACACAGGCAGTGCCTGCAGGGGTCCCAGCTTTGCAATATGCTGCGCTTGCATCACGTTGTTCTGTCCTCGACGAGTTCGGTGTGATTCCATGGATGCGCCGCGCCGCGGGGTTGGGCCTGAAGTCGACTTTATATGTTTACCTGCC